ATCTCCTATCAAACAGAGTCTTATAAAAATAAATGGTCAAAACTATTTTTAATCCACACATATCACAGACCCACAATTACTACATATTTATCCACCACGCATTTCTATCTATTTATTCCCAACTTCAAGAGCTTGTTGTTTCTACCTTCCTAATGTTTTGATTTTTTGTTTGAGTGGAATTCCAGGACTGAAGGGTTGGTCTACTGCAAGTTTTGTGCCAAGAGTCAAATCTATCGCTTGTCCCGAGAGATTTAAGACCCAAGGAGTACGTTTAGGTTCAGCTGGAGTCCCTAGACAGATGAACCACTTGTTCAGGAATCCAAAAATTTCATTTGACAACATCACCAAACTAAGCCTCAGTCCTATGCCGTTTCTTTCAGTTCATCGCTAGATTTGAACCCAGCGGTTAATCCATCTCATGTAATTTGTTGCTTTGGTGTAATGTTTATCAAACATCACAGGCAGATTCGAATCTCTTAACTTTAGACAGTTCACTAAAAAGAAATTTACACTTTCAGAACTGCTCGCGAAAAGCAGATAAGCATATACCCAATAACATTAAAGACAGAAGCCCATTCAAACTGAATGCATTGCTGAAAATTCAAGTACATGCACTAGTACAAACTAAACTGCTGCTCAAAATACAAATATGTATTTGTATATAAGTATAAATCACATCTCCCCTCGGTAACCCCCAGACCCAAAATAATCTCTCCTCGAGCTAGCAATTTGCATGCTTTTTTGATGCTCTAACTTGGGGCAATCGCGGATACGATGACCAAGCCCACCACAATAGGCACAGCCTTGAACTCCACTCGCATTGGCTATTTCCTCAACATCTTCCATTGGATCATTAAGCTCAGCCAGAACAGGAGGTATCCTCTGCTTCGCCTCTTGCAACAGGTGCTTCAGATCAAGGAGCGTTGTTTCACTCTGGTTCTTATTAATAAATGTGGTCGCAATTCCTGTCTTTCCACATCTTCCTGTTCTTCCAATCCTATGAACATAATTTTCTATCTCGGCAGGCATGTCGTAATTGATAACATGCTGAATATCAGGGAAATCAAGACCTTTTGAAGCTACATCTGTGGCAACTAAAACATCCTTCGTGCCAGATTTGAAAGATGAAATAGCATACTCTCTCTCTTCTTGATCCTTACCTCCATGAACTGCCACAGCTTCAACTCCCTTCAGAAGAAGGTATTCATGAATGTCGTCCACGTCAGCTTTGTTCTCGCAAAATATTAGAACCGGGGGTGGGGTTTTTTGCAAGCATTCAAGAAGGTAAACAATTTTTGCCTCCTGTTTCACGTATTCAACTTCTTGAATTACGTCAAGATTTGCTGCTCCAGCCCTTCCCACATTCACAGTAATGGGTTTTACCAATGCACTTTTAGAAAATTTCTGAATCTTCGGGGGCATGGTAGCCGAAAATAGAAGAGTTTGTCTTTGCGCTTTAAAGTGATCAAAAACTTCTCTTATGTCATCTTCAAAACCCAGATCCACTAACCGATCTGCTTCATCAAGAGTTAAATATCTGCAGGAAAAGCCAAAACTAGATAAATATCTGCAAGAAAGCCAAAACTAGATAAATAGCTACAGAAAAATTGGTGAGCAAAATAGTAACCCAGTTCAACTTGAACGGCGTGGATTGTTTATCCATATGCCACCCACAAATATAAAAGCAGAGCAGACAGCGGCTCCACTGTCACCCCCACTCCCCTTACCAAATAAGGCAGCTGTCTTTTCTATCAGAGTCAACAAATTGAAGATCATTGACAAGCCAGTTCACCTTATGAAACAAGGACAACATATCTTGAAAACTATCTATTCTGTTCATTAGCAAAGTTCCAACAAAGTAACAACAAATATAATTTGGTACTTTAGAAGAAATAAAATTGTGGGAATTTGCTTCACAGCAACATTTACTTAATGCAACACATCAACTGCAATAACTAAGAACTTAACGTGTCATCAAAAATATGTAGTACTTACCTGCAATTATCAAGGTTCATTTTCTTCTTTGCTAGCATATCCTTTAGCCTTCCAGGTGTAGCAACAACTATGTGGACGCCCTTCTTCACTACATCTAATTGTGATTTCATATCAATACCACCAATACAGAGTAACGATCGTAACTCAGGATAACCAAACTCTCTCATGGGTTCAAGAAACTGTTCCACAACCTCATACGTCTGCCTAGCAAGCTCTCTAGAAGGGCAAATAATCAAGCCAAATGGTCCCTCACCTGGTGCAATTGGCATCATCACCTCCTCTTGTAATGCAATCATGATAAGAGGCAAAACAAAAACCAAAGTCTTTCCAGATCCTGTGAATGCAATGCCAATCATATCACGGCCAGATAAGACAACAGGCAACCCCTGCACTTGAATTGGTGTTGGCTGAACGATCCCCTTGGCTTTTAACATCTTTAAAATTGGCTCGGGAAATCGCATATCCTTAAAATTCTTGATTGGAGGGGGAATATCTTCGCCGTCCACGATAATATGCCACTGCTTCCTAGTGACATCACAAGCCTTCTTCGACATCCTCCTTATTGGCAATGGTGGCTTCCAACCAGTCAACAAAGGCTCCGTATAAGTGATTCCCTTTGCCAGCTCCCGAACTGACATTAAAGTTTTCCTATCTGACAAATTTTCAATCATCTCCTTTTCCTGCTGTAATATTTGCTCAGTTTGGGTTACTTCGGGCTGCTCTTTCTTCAGTTGAGAAGCCTTGACCAATAAACTGGGTTTAACCTCAAGAAGTTTCTGCTTTTCAATATCATCATCGAGCACAATAGCTTGCCCTTTGCGCTGAAGAATTTTCTGGGCCTCAATTGCCCGACGCTTGGCAACTGGAACATACTCCTCATAGTCATCATCTCCATCCATAGTTTCCTGGAAATTCAAATCCTAAAATAGCTCAGACAACTGCATCATTGGAAATTTCTAACAAAGTACCTCCTTTAAACTGGTAAAAGTTAAAATTCAACGGCCGTACATTTCAGCTTATCTAAGGCAAATTAAAGGTTTAATTTTGATATACAGCAAATAGTCATCAGAAATCAAACAGCAGGCTTCACCACAAACAAAGACCCCAAAACAAAAAAAAGGTTCGTAATATTCTAAGACCCCTCAGGCCACTGAGGAGTACCGGCCGTAAACTTCAGGCCGTGGAATTAGTCGAATTCCGCGCAAGCTGTCCGGAAATCCACGGTTATCAAAAAAAAAAAAAAATTCTAAGAAATATAAATCTCATATGCGTTATCCAGAAGTTCGATTCCGTCGTGACTGCGCATGTATTAGAAGATAACGCATAAATTAGTGAATTACTGGATGCCCTATTTATTATTTGAAGTATTGAATCAAACCCAATCCTGGAAAGAGTATAAATAACGAGCACAACGCACAGGTAAATCAAGAGAAGGAGAATTTATAAGAAATTAAGAATGAGCAAAGAAGAGGAAAATACATACCATATCTATAGGCGGTTACAGCAAAAGAAGAAGCAACAAGGCGCAGCGGTGACGGCGAAGGGTAAGTTCAGCGGATCCTGAGCTTGGGTTTTTTCGCCAATTCTTTTGCTTAGCTGCTATCTGATTTTTATTGATTGAATTGAAATTGAATTGTTTTCTTCCTTTCTTTCCCAGCAATTTCTTTGAGAAGTACCAAAGCAGAAAATGAAAATTAATTAATAAATTATTTTTGGATAAATTACCTGTTTTGTCCCCAACCTTTTCCCCTCAGTGCACTTTCCTCCCAATCGTTTTGCAATTGGGAAATTTACACTAACATTTTTCAACCTTTTCAACTCCAAAACAAATAAGTCACGAGAGTATAAGTTCGACTAGAGACACAGGATTGGAAGAGATTATATTAAGGTCGATTAGTATGATCTTGTTTGAGCCAAATTATTGTAGAATGAGAATGAAAAATGTAGCCGTTATTAGGGTCCACACAAAAAATAGAAAATTTAAATTTAAATGTTGATGTGATGGATAACAGTCATATTTTTCATTTTAATCAGATAAAAAGATGACCCAAACGGGAGGAATTATGCTCCTTGTACACTCCTCGTATACATGGAGTTTGACACTCCTTTGCAAATTCAAAAATGGAGTGGCGGGAAAGTGTGTGGTATTTTCAAATTGATCAATCGTGCTGTAACACGTGGCACAATGTCAAACTTGATGTTAAAAATAATGTACTTGTAGCATGATTGCAAACGGGAGCTATGTATTATTTCAATGCAATATTTGATGCTATAATGTATTAAACCCCTATTTCGTTTAGATTTTGCTAAAAATGTGTAATTGAAAAGTTTCCAAACATAAGTTAAAATGGCAATATAAATTTTTTTATTTTTTACTTATAAATATATTTTTAGCTATAAGTAAATTATTGTACTTATTAGCTTTTATGTATAAGAAATTTTTTACATATATATAAATATTTTAATTATAAGTAGTTTTCTTAAGTGAATTCTAAGTAGTATATTTTACTTATAAGCAATTTTTTCACTTATATTAGTAAAAAAAATAAATAAGAAGAGAAAAGTAATGGTTTTCTTGCTCCGGGCTACATGACCCGGTTCAAATTCAAATCCTATTGATAACTCAATTAACCACCACCACCACAAGCCCTATCTCAACCCCTCACCTCCGCCAACTGCAACTGCGAAATGGAAGTTGAAGTAAAGCTCCGTCTACCAGATTCCACTTCCCACCAGCGCCTCTCCAACATCCTCTCCCGCCACCACCGCAAGACCCATTTCCAGGAAAACGTCTTTTTCGACGGCAACAACGCCGAGCTCTCCTCCAACCTCGCTGTACTCCGCCTCCGCTTCTACGACCTCGATTCCCACTCCGTCCTCTCCATCAAAGCCAAGCCCGTTATCTCCGGCGGCATCAGTCGCATCGAGGAGCAGGAAGAACCCATTGACCCCGCAATTGCCCGCCAATGCGTGGCTGAACCCTGGAGGCTGTTGCTCATCAGCTCGTCGGATATAATCCGAAGAGTGAAGGAAGAATACAATGTTAAGGATAATGGGCTTGTGTGTTTAGGGGGATTCAGGAATGTGAGAGCAATATATGAATGGAATGGACTGAAATTGGAACTTGATGAAACGCATTATGGATTTGGTACGTGTTACGAGATTGAATGTGAAAGCTCCGAGCCTGAAGTTGCTAAGCATTTGCTCGAGGAATTGTTGAATAGCAATGGGATTCACTACGAGTATTCAGAGGTCTCCAAGTTTGCAATTTTTCGATCTGGAAAATTGCCTCTGTGAGGTAATCTGTATTGTACGATGGCAATAAGCAAGTGGATAAAATAAGTAACTTTTTTAATGTATACTTTGTAAGTAATTCATGAATAACGTTTCTCTTCTTCTCATATAAGTTCTGCCACAACACTATTCTTTTGGCTGATGAAACCCTGATAACATGAAATACTGGAATTCTAACTGGAAAACAAAGAAACCAAAAATTTCCTTGGTCGAGTTATAGTAAACACGCCTTGAAGCCCTTCTCTAATTCCTCTTTGTCCAAGTTCTTTCCGATGAACACGATCTTGTTTATCCTGGGCTCGTCTGGACTGCTGGACGCCACAACCTGTCTGGCGAAACTTGGAATATATCGTGCACTCCCTGTTACGTTAAAAGGCAGTTGATTAAATAGCTTTATTTGTTTGGTGCATATTAAAATTAAAATGAGAGAATGCATTTATTTTTAAGTGGTGTGATGTGGAATATGTGGTTTAAAAAGAGGGAAAAGTTATTGAAGTGGTGAAAAATATTGTTTTATTAAAAAATATGTGGTTAAAAATGAGTAGGAGAATGAAAATGAGAAAAATAATATGGCTCAAACATGGTTTTTTCAGTCCATGGAACTTTAATTTTCATAATTCTAGTAATTATGTTTTAAGAGGAGTGCGATTCTCTGGCAATCTCTCGATTTTCATTTCAGAACTTCTCTCTCTCAAAAAGCAGCAAAACTAGTGCTTTTGACATTATGGGCATCCTTGGGGCATGAAGTTAAACAGAAAAAGAACAGAATCAATTGGCACGAGAAAAAGAAAGCATTCGTGGGCATTGTTGTAGGAGAGCAGAAGCAGTTGAGTGAGGTGAAGAGTGGAAGTATATCATCTGTTCAGTGTCAGTTATCCATAAGGGCAGCATAAAAATTTACACTTTGCTAGCTTCAGTAACTAAATATGTTAATACACAAAAATAAAAATTTACACCTTGCTAGATTCAGCATAAATATGTTAATTCATTCTCTGACTCATAGAGCACCAAGGTATTATTAAAAGTGCTTTTACAGAAAAGTAGGGGAACTGAATGACTGATACTTTCACAATCTATTCTGTCAGCAGAAGCAATATTATGATTGACCTAGAGTGAAAGAGCAAATTTAATCATGTCCAGTGTAGAATATATTGAATAGTAATAAAAGACTGCTATTAAGACCATTCTCCATCGCCATTAGAGAGCTCTCATCATAATCTTCTATACCTATTTTTCTGCCAGTGACAGAGACTTGTGTTATAAATCAACTGAAGCTGTTTCATTTTTTATATAATTCTGTCAAGGTGTTCTGATGATGTTATATTTTCATGTGCCGAAGGGTTTTGGAATGAATCTTGACATGTCAAAGAACAAGATGAAAATTGCACTTGCTATATTTAAGAAGACGGTCAAATTGTGATAAAAGGATAGCAATTCTGAGAACATAATATAGGACAGAAGCAAACCTTTCTAGATCAAAGCCTCCAATTCCGAGATCATAGTCCAAGTCAACATTTCCATAGTTCGCTTCAATTGAGCCATACGATTTATGTTCTGCACTTCAACAAATAAAAATTAGAAAAGGTAACTTGGAAACAAACACTGGATAGGAAAAAACAGGTGAGATGGCAAATTAGAGAGTATTATGCAACGAAATCTACCCTTATTATCTCAACAAGTGAAGCAATCTCTGGTACCAACAAGATCAGTTTGCAGTCACAATGGAAATCATCTAGTTAAACTTTAGAACACCAAATATCTCAGAGGCCAGATACAGAACAACCTTCCAAGGTTTTCTTTACAAAACATGTCACGAAATTACTAGAAGATATACCAGTAGGCATACAAATAGAAATTAAATTGCAAGAAAATTGAGTTAATTTTTCATTGTGGCGTTTAGTGACTGCATTATAAGATTCTTGAAGCAGGACAAGAATCCAGATTATAATACAGAATTACATAATCTAGACATTGCCATAATTTCCAGAGTTTTCAGTTATAATTTGATGGGGAAATACTTAATAAGCCTATAACATGCTATAAAGATAAAAATGTACCTTGTTTACTATAATACGGTCTGCATAAGCAATTTTCTTTACTGCCTCATTTACTACTCCTTCAGGCTTAATCTCATCAAGGTGAAAACCAGCATGTTTAGCATCCACCATTGTAACAATGCCATCAAGTTTAACATCGCTAAAAACCTGACCTTCAGCATAAAATGTCTGAATAATTGGGGCTGGATTTGCTAATCCTGGAAAGGTGAGGAAGAATATGATGTCATTGTAGCAAGAGGATATCAAGACTCAAAATATCTATTGAATATGGCATCTGAATTTTTTTCCCAGCAGGAGGGAATGAATTAAAAACATGCTTGATCTTACATTGCTAAGTGCTAAGTCTAGTGCATTTAGAAGTGATTGATTTCAATGAATAAATATATTTAATCAACCATTTTATACCTGTTGTTTCAATTACGATATGAGGCAGCTAGAGAACCATCAATGTCAACTTCACCATACTGGAAAAACAAAGGGCCAGCATATAAAAAATAACACATGCTCAAATGAAAAATAAATTATAGGGAGGAGCTTACCCTTCTCAAAATATAAAAGAAGCAAAGAAAGAGAATTTGTTTCACAGACAATCCAGTAATGTGACACCTAGACTAGATAATGAAAAACTGATAGTTACAAAATCTTTAATGCTTACTAACTCTACTCCGTACCTCATTCTCAATAACTGCTATGCATTTCCCATGATCAGCAGTCTAGATGTGATTTAACAAGGTTGTCTGTGAACATGTGAAAGTACACATGAAGGTTAAAATATTAAAACTTCATTTGTCAAAACAAAACAAAGTAAATGTTATGTAGTAAAGTGTAACATTGCGAAATTCTGCATGTCATGCCTAATTTTAGCATGAGATAATTGAAACAAAATAATAATAATAAACCATTAAGAGACTGAATTTTACTCGGATTTGTTTTGAAATTGATTTGCCAAAATATTGATAGGCACCGAACGTCGTACAGAGAGCTGGTTATGAAGTTGGGCTTCATTGTGAAGGACGTTCCCCGCAAGAACTAAGGAATTGTTCAAACAGGAACTGGGTGTGATGTCAAGTTTTAGTTCTTTCTTTTTTGATTACCTTTCTCGCGATGTAGAAGACAGAATCCATTTGAGCAGCTTCTTATTATTCTGTACAGAGGAGCTTCAACAGCAGCTAGGTCTATAGGGAAGTTATGAGAGTGGGTTCAAAGGGATGTAATGATATTTAGCAAGAAACTGGGGAACACTGAGTTGTGAAGCCCTCGAAGGGCTACAGTCTTTCAATGGCTAAGGATATCAAGGGAGTACCTACTCAGAGATGATAAAATAAAACCAAAAATAAGAAAATAAAATAAAATCTCCAAAACACAGCAATGGGATGAGAAGATTAACCATTACAGCCATTGCGTCAAATTAGAAATACAAATTTAATTCAAAAAAGACAGTTAAAATTAAATATGATAATCCGAACAAAAAAGACCAAATGATAAAGTTTAAACATGTCCAAAGAAAAAAATGTCTACAAAAAAAAATACCACAATTATTTTCCAATGAACGTTTCATTCCAAACCTAAAACCCATATGTTTCATTAATATAAAATGAGTTCAACCTTCTTTCAGCGAATTGCAAACATTAATTAGAAAACTTTAATTGCAATAAAAAAAAAAAGTATTACCACAAAGCCAGTTGAAGTTTTTAGTCTCTGTAAAGAAAAAACCCACTTAACGTTCATTCAAACAGGCAACAGTACAAAAATAACACAGCAGTTTGTCAGCTAGATAGTACGAGTTATATCAGCTATCACACTACAAAAAAAAAACATTTCCGGAGCCCAAGAAACCGGTTATAATAGTGCCTGGGATTCTATCATCGGGAGGGATTTTAGTGAGAACATCAGAATCCTCAGTTTGGGGAGTAGATGTGGGGGCGGAAGAAATTGTAAGTGTACGCGATAAGCTTTTTCTTGGGTTTTTTAAAGAGTAGAAACTTCTTGAATGAACTGAATTGGCAGCGGTTAGCGGTGGTAATTAAGCAAGTGCGGGTATGGAAAGTATCGTATTAAGTTTGTTTTTGCAGAAGTGTTGTGCGGAAAGTGGAAAATGGAGACGGATGGCGCTTGTACAGTCCTAAGAAGGCTGTGGCCATATCCATAGACATTGAAGCCATCATCGGCTGCTGCCGCCGGTTTAGATTTTCTTTCAGCGGAGAGAGAAACGGACAGAAACGACAGGGGTTCAATGGGCCGAGCCCGGCCCGGCCCTTAAACACACGAGCTCGGCTCGGCTCGGCTCATGCAGAAACTAGCCACGAGCTCACGAGTCGAGACGAGCCGGCTCGTGGCTCGTTTGCTCGTGGGCGAGCTCTAGCTCACGAGCTCAATTTTTTTTTTTCGTTTTTTAGAGCTTGTTTTATAGGAATTTTTGGAGGAAGAATTGATTTTGAATAGTGATATGATGGGAAATGTGTGATTGAAAAAAAAGAAAATATTATTGAAGTGATGGAAGATATTATTTTATTGAAAAATGTGTGATTGAAAATGAGAATTGATTTTCTCAAATCAAAAACAAACACCCCCTTAGTCTTTTTTTTTCACGAGCTCATGCCTAGGAGCTGCTCGTGAGAAAACGAGTCGAGCCCTAGCGAGCCCGCTGCTCGGCTTGTGCTCGAGCTCGTCAAAAAGAGCGGCTCGTGGATCTGTGGCAACGAGCCGGCTGGCTCGATTGCCACCACTATTTGATCCACATTATTTTTTTCATTCTCATTCTTCTACTCATTTTCAACCACACATTCTTCAATAAAATAATATTTTCCATCACATCAATAATTTTTCCTTCTTTTTCAACCACATATTCCTCATCACATCACGTCAAAAAATACCACTATTTGATCCACATTATTTTTTTCATTCTCATTTTTCTACTCATTTTCAACCACATATTTTTCAATAAAATAATATTTTCCATCACATCAATAACTTTTCCTTCCTTTTCAACCACATATTCTTCATCACATCACTTCAAAAAAATGCATTCCCTCATTTTAATGTGCACCAAACGAGGCTACAATGTTCACGATCCAAATTTTAGTGAATTTCTACTATTTATTTATCGATATGGATAAACTTTATAACTGGGGTAATGTTGCATTTCTTTAAACAATTAGGATAAAGCCCCTTGTACACGAGTTATTGTGGAGAATTTGTGTTAGGGACAAGATGGTACGCTGTGATTTACAGTGTTAAAATTATTTTTTTTCCAATTTTCAATCACAATTTGCCAACGTGCGATTGGCAAAATGTTCCGTAGCTTCCCCGACAATGTAGCACAATTGAAACATTTATTCAACCTCTGAGCCTAGTTGTTTATTGTTCATTTCAAATTCTCCTAGTATAATAATTTTACATAAGTTGAAATTTTCTATTTTTTAATGACAAGTAATAATATTCATGCCCGCCAATACTAAGCATCAGTATAGATGATAACTAAGCCCTTGTTTGACATTTATTATATCAAAACTCTTTAATTTGCATACTCATTTTTCAATCACACATTTACACAATTAACCTTTGGTTTCAATTGAGTCACGATCATTAAAGATAATTTAGAATTTATAGTTTTATTATCTCGAATAAGACACAAAATTAAACTAAAGCCAACGCAAATCTCCAACGACAAATTGCGAAGCATTTCAGCCCCTAATGAAATAAATCGAAGCTTTGTGATCAACATAAAACAAGATTGTAAGTTTATCGATCTCGACTAAAATTTTTTCGAACACAAAATATCGATGATAAAGATTGGGACCCACACCAATAAACACAGGCCTAATTTTTTCAATGAATAATGTTTGTTAGCACCAGTCATATTGAACACAATCTATGCGTCCGCAACCAAACTCCGAACCTCATTTTTCTCACAATCTATGTGAATGAGCTACTGATTTTTTGCAATCTGTCTGTATAGGTATTCTTTTAAAAGCAAAATGACTATAGGGGAAAATTTCATAATTAAGAGGTTTAGTTTTACTAATTTCAAATTTAAGAGATTATGTTTAAAATTTCAATTCTCAGAGTTTTTTAAATTTTATTTACAAGTTAATTAATTAAACATATATTTTATTAATTAAATATATTAAGGTCACAATTCCATATAATTGGTCACAAATCACAATTAGATTATGTTTAAAATTTCAAATTTAAAATTTTTTTAATTTTATTTATAAATTAATTAATTAAACATATATTTTATTAATTAAATATATTAAGGTCCCAATTTCATATAATTTAGTGGCAAATTCCATATAATTGGTCACAAATCACAATTTTTATGTCAAATTATTTTATGGTCACAATTCAAAAAATTTATAAATCACAATTTGTTCATCGGTCACAAATCAAAAATTTATACGTCATAATTTATTTATCGATCACAAATCTATTAAATTAATAATCACATATTATTTATTAGTCACAAAACATCAAATTAATTGATCACAAATTATATTTAGGTTACAATTTATCAAATTATTGGTCACAAATTAATAATTTTTTAGGTCACACAATATGTATTGGTTACAATTTATCTGTTTTTATAGGTCACATTCAACCAAATCATTTGTAACCACTACCAACGTTTGTGACCATCGACACACCGTTGCAAATCAAAAAAAATTATTCATCACAACTTATTTCACGATCATAGATTGTCAAATTAATTGATCACAATTTACCAAATTCTAAGTCACAATTACAAATTTAGTCATAGTCACGCATTCTTCTAAGTCACATATTATTTAATTGTCACAAATTATTAATTTATTGGTCACAACATCCAAAACATTTGGTCACAAAAACTATTCCTATCCCCCGCCACCACCGCCACGAGCATTGCCTCGAGAACCACCACCTCGCCACATCACCATAGCCCTCAAAACAACCACACCACTTCCACAACATTCTACCATACCCACAGACACCACCATCGCACTAAAAATAACAAATAAAAATCATTCTAAAGTACAGCCTCTCAAACCACCACACCACCATCGCACAACGCACCACCACGTCTACAGACAACACCACCACACCAACAATAACAAATAAAAATCATCCTAAAATACCAAATATGTCGACTAAGCAAAGAGGAAGAAGAAACCACCCCCAAAACCACGGCTAGCATTGTTGCAACGCCGATCTCAACGCCGACGATGCTTAGATCAGTGCATCGCCAAACACCACCATACCAACAAAGATCCATTCAACACAAAACATGAAAACTATAACCATCAACACCACACCACAGTGTCACCGCCTTTTCTTGAGTGCGACGCCACTCGTTGCTACTGCGCACGAACTGAAGCGACGAGAGGCGCCTACTACACCCGTTGTCGGGCTCTAGTACACTACTTCACACATGTAAAGAATCGCTGGAGATCCATACTACCGCCTCCAACATCGGTCGTGCCACTAAATTCGCTCCAGCATCCGGAGATCCATACAACCTCCGCCTGTTTGGCCGATACGTACAGTAGCATGAACACCTTCATAGTAGTGTCGCTCAATCCGCAGCATCAGCATCATCGTCGCCGCAATAGAGCTCCTCCTTTTCGGTGGTTGTGTGAGAGAGAGAGAGAGAGAGAAGTGATAGGGATTGAAGGTTTGGTGGGAGTTGGAATCATTTTATATGTTTTAATTTTATATTTTTAAAAATTAAATTATTAAAATTTTAATTATTGTCTTGTTTTTGAAATAAAAATTTGTGAATCTGAATTTTGAAATTGAAAGTTTAAAATTCTGGTACGATATAATTTCCTCTAATTATAGGCTTAGCTCACCCAATTTAAAACCCATTAACCCGCCACAATGGGCTCAATTAAAATGGCCCAAATTAAACCCAAATCTGAATTTCTGCGGACAGAGACCATGGGACCAGCCAGAGCGCCATTTGGAGAAATAAAAAACAAAAAACAATACCATACGCTTTCTTTCGGACCAAATACCGCGTGGCGCCTACTCCAGCTCCAGCTCCAGCTCCAGCTCCAGCCAGTTAGGGCGTGTTTGATACACTTTATTTTTCAGGCAATTAGGAAAATATTTTTCACTTT